CATTGTTCTCCAGCAAAACGTTTTGGAAACTCATGTTTAACCTTTAAAACTCTGACATGTTTTAGCACACAAGGCTTCATCGGGGAGTTCACTTGTGATTGGACCATGAGAATAAAGGTTTTTAGTTTTTTCAAAGAGAGTCTTGGAGCTTTTTGATGTTTCTGTTTTCTCTGAAACCACCTGAAAGAAAAACTATTTTTCTTGCTTTATGTAGTGTGGAAGTTTTTAATGTTTCTTTCATCTGTGATGTTCTTGAATGTGTTCACATGAAGATGGTACAGGTGATTACCTGAAGAGCTACTTAACCCGGCGCTGATGGATGCTCCACGCCAGTCCGTTAATCGCCTCTCTGTGGTAACTAGACTCCCGCGAAGGCGTTGCATTAATTTCTTGTTGGAGCTGCGTTAAATCTGCCTACTTGTGTCTAGGTTTCAGCGTCTGCCACCTGCCTGTCCTCCTGCTCAATTGGATCACCCGGTGCATCATCTGGCCCATTCACTACCTCCACGGATTTCTTTCTCACAGACTTCCCTCCCGAGCTCCCACGGTCCTGCTCTAATCGTAAGCCAACTAGTCTAACTCAGTTTTAATGTGTTTCTCCCGCTTCCCGGCTCCTAGTAATCTTCTCCCCTTTCTGTTGCAGCCTCCCACGGTCCTGATTCCGGCTTCCTCGCGTCATTGTTTCCCCGGGTTTTTTTTAGTTCCTCGTTTTGCTCCTCTGGTTTTCCCGGGTCGTCTTTTGTTGTTATAATAAAGTGTCATTTTCTGCTAGCGCTTGAGTCTGCATTTGGACCCTTTTGTGCACGCGCGCTGCGGCGCATGACACTGACAGTCTTGCAGTGAAACAGGGGCCCGCGTGCAATTCTCCACTTTGGCCACTGTATTGTTGGGTGTTCAGAGACAAAGACTTTAAGCTGATTTGAGGTTGATTTTTTTCTTTTCTCCACTTGATGGCAGCAAATATTTGCTCAACACTGACCCACCTCCATGACTGCTCTGTTGCTACGACAGACTGAAGATGTGTACTGTGAGGATGGTGTTGGTGCATTGCTAACTTTAAAAGATTTCCATCTTTCTGGAGTCAGTGCAGAGTTTCAGGTTTACTAACACTTCAGTAAATGCTTCAGTTTTTTCTTCTTGAAGAGATTAAAAAAAATTAAAACAAAGAAAAATAACTTTATTTGGCATGATTACTGATAAAGATCTAGAAAAGTTGGAGAGGACAGGGAATGAACTCTAAATCTAGGGATTATTAGACACCACCAGAAGGCAGCAGGTTCTGTAGCAGGAGTAACTGTGTTTAGTGTTTTAAAATGTGAAAGGCAAACTTTTAATATCTCTAAAACCTTCTACTTCTCTTATCACATCCCTCATAGATGTGTCTAAACTCACAAGTAACCATAATAGACCAGAAAAAGAAATCTTATTGATGCAAATCTTCTCTAACACCTTAACGTAGCAGGTATCAAACTGATGAGACACATTTTCTCTTCCCGTTGACAAGAACTTGACATGGACTTGAATTTTCCATACATACTGTTTGTTTTGTTGAGGATGTCCAAATTACCTAGGTAGACCAAACAGGAGAACCAATGGGACACAGCTTTGTTTCACAAACAAGTGGAGCTGGGTACAGGGGGATGGCATGAGTTTGCTTGGGGTCAAGGGTTCTTCCAGGTCCAGGATAAAAGAAGTTCCATAAAAAGGAGGAGACAAGTTTTAGATCCAAATCCAAAGTGACTGCTGATAATGGTGAGAGAGAATTGACAAGTGAGTTTGAGCTTACTTTGAACGGTCAGCAATAATGGGAAAATGTGTGGGTACTAATTTGGCCTGAATGCAGAGTTAACTCTGAGACTATTCTGAGTGCCCCAAAAACCCTGTCAGTCCTGTCAAATGTGAAAGAAATACTTAAGAAGTTAATAAAAATCAATTATAGTTTGTTATTCCAACCAAATAAAGATGCTTTCTGAAGCCGTTCTTCAGCAAGACACCAAATGCTGATGTCAGCTGTAACATCTGGATGATGGGAATATGGGTGCATCACATATCTTTACTTCCTTCTTCTTGCAATTTTTTCTTAAAAACACCAGATGCTTATGGGAGAACAGAAAGTTTGCAAAATAATCCTTTTAAAAAAAAAATTGTCCTTACTGGCTGTAAACCAGGCAACGTGCAAATGTTGTTAAATAGTAACTATCCTCTTAACATAAATCATGTCCGAAGCTTTCTACCCCTTTATATTCAATTTTTTAAAGTTAGTTTTCATATCTAAATAACCTGCACAGACAAAAAGGCATAAAAGAGACTTTCTCCAGCAGGGCCCACGTCCTCATTTTAGGTTTGACAGTGTTTTACTGGATAAAGGTGAATGTCATGGACATGAATTGAGCTGCGGTTTGGGGAAGGACTTGAAGGGGACTGGTGGCGGCTCCTGGGCCTGGCAGATTCCCAATGATGGATTTTTGTACTAAACAGAAGTGAAAAAGTTAAAGAATTGAACAGGTGAAGGAGGGTGGGGCACGTAAATGAGAACGAGCAGCTGGTAGAACTGGGGGAACATATATAGATAAGAACCAGAAGAAGCATGTTTGGAGGCATTGTCCCGCTCCTGAAATTCAGATACTTTATCTCCAATAAAATGTAAGATCTTTGAGTTTGTATGCTTGCACGTGGTTAAAATGCAAAACACTAACACTCGAGCCTGAAAGCAAGGACTGACATCACAATGTCTGCATTCATTTTCCTATTTACAAAACAAAATCTTAAAGCCAGGACTGCAGCATGTCCAGAATATTTGCCAAAGAAGGTTTTGTGAGATAAATGCTACAGAAAAATTAAGAACAGGTTCCCAGTTTGAAAAAGTATTTTATTCATAATTAATTTTAAATAAAAATATTACGCTTTAGGTTACATTAAATTTAGATTACATTAAATAACTGATTTACTAAACTTTTTCTTAACAATTCTACAACAAATGCATTGATTCCCGCTTCTGTGGAACGCCTCATACTTCCACAATCTAAGAACTGTGTGATGAAACGTCGTGTCATTTTGTAAAGTTCCTCTTAAATCACTGTTTAATTTATTTGTATGAAGAGAGAGGAGGAGGAAACAGAAAAAGCTGAGCCGAATAACTGGAGGAATCACTTCTGCTTTTAAGACCTTAACTAGTTCTTCACGCTTCACTCTGGAGAAGAAGGCAGATCAAAGGGGAACAAATCATTTACTCACTGTTCTTCAAGCTTTTTGAAAATGGTAAACTCTAGAAGCCTGTTACTGCTGGTCTGCACAGTCTTGGTGGTTGGGGCCATCTCTGGATCAGACTGTAAGATTAAACTTCAGACTCCATGTAAGAGCTTTCAACTGGCTTTTCTCTGTTTAAAATTCACTTTGTAAAATGTAATTTGTGTTCCAGCAAAGATTTGGACATCTGCTGCATAACAGTCAGCAGTAAGAAGATTCAGGAAGCACATTAGTTTTTTATTCTTTCAGCTGTAGCCTCGGTGCTGTTTAACAGGCTAAGAGTGAAGATTGAATACAAAAACAGAAATCAAACATGGGCTTAGATTATGTGCAAATTGTATAGAAGGCCAGCAAGTACAAAACGGAGTCCTGCTTAAGACTCGTGTAAAAATCAGTTTGCAACCAGCAAGAATGTTCCTGGAATAAATATGAGCCGAAGAATCTAGATTTAATTAATACCCATGCAAGTGAAAGGGAAACACAAACATTAGATGCTGCTTAAACCCCCCCATGGAAATATAGCCCAGTAAGAAGTGACACAGGTACAGATACAGGCCTGTGCTCTTATTGTTTAGCATTCTTGAAGAATATAGTGTCTAGAATGAGGACATAGAGTGGTGTAAGTAGCTACTTTGTTAATACTTTTATAATGTTTGCAGTAAATTTCTCATTAGTAGAAATACCTACAAGGTGAGGCACAAAAATCACTATTTCATGTCACTTAATGTCTGGTAACGGTTCAAAAGTCAGCTTTTGTTTACTCTTGTTAGCAGTTTTATAACATTTTAAACCCGAATTTCACTTTGAGTTTTCTTCCTGTGGGCGAAATATATTCAGTTTTAAACTTCTCCTAATCAGCTCGTCGCCAGAGGAGACCGTGCTGTGTTGCAGTCACCCGCCAAGATAGAAGTGCTGAGGTGGTGGGGGAAACATATCGTCAGCAGGCTGCAACACCACACTGTGTGTGTGTGTAAGTCAGCACATGTCGTCCTACACACAAACATAAACACATACAATCTGTATAATTTTCTCCTTTTTATTTCCAGTTTCAACACAGAATATGGACAGCTTTGTGCTGATCCAAACGCTCAGTGGGTCAAAGATCGTAAGTTATGCTAAAAGAAACACACACACACACACACACACACACAAAGTATTTGTAGAAACAAACTGAAACTCCTGTTTGTCTCTCTTTCCTGTCCAGTCATTGTGAGGAAGACGAGGGTATGAAGTACAAAGTGTGAGGTGAAGCATCGCTGCCTGTCGGGTCATCAGTATCTCCTTATCTCAAACTTTTCTTTGAAATGTTTTTGTTACGTTACTCTGTTAATTCTGTCCACATCGCACTGCATTTTATTCTTGATGCTACATCTGAGTCTTGTGTGACTTTAAAGTGACGACTAAGGCTGGACATCAATCTGTGCCTAGAGGGACCAACTGAGTTCTTTTTTTTTTTTTTTTAAGTTTAGTTACATATTTAGTTTTAAATCTTCTTTTATTCTTTATTTTTTGCTTTTATGATTCCATTTATCTGTCTATATCATGTTGTTTTGCAAAGCTCACTCTGAAAGCTATTTCCAAATGAACTCTGACCACCAGTCATTCAATAAATCTCATATCTTAATAATCTCCCAGAAACCTACAACACATTTTATTTAAAAATTTTAACTAAAATGTGTACAATCCAAGAAATCAGTACATTTCTTATTTTTATCCATTAATGTCCCTGTGTCGCCTGCAACTTTTAACCCTCTACTGCATGACTTTTTAATTTTTGGGGAAAAAAAATATTTCTCCCTATTTTGGGGGAGCTTTAGGGTCACTAATAATATATCCCCCTCCAAACAGATATTGGTTTGTTGCTTCAAGGCAACACTGTGCGATAAGGGTAGTAAAATGCCGAGTTATTCTATAATAAGTTGTATTAGTACAACAAGGATGAACAAATTAATGAACAACAAATTAACGTGTGTGTGTGCGCGCACACACACACACGTTGTGTTTCCATCACTTTTGTGGACATTACATTAACTTACATTCATTTCCTGGAGACTTATCCTGACTCTACCCATCACAAGTCCCTGCCTGAACCTTACCCTAACCCTGACTCAAGCCTTCACCCTAAAATTGAATGATTTACCTTGCAATTTGTCCCCATAAAGTAGGCGAGACCTCACAATGTGAGTGTGTAAACAAATTTGTGTCCCCACAACAATAAGTAATACACGACCACACACACCCACACAGCAAAATTGGTATGGCCCGGATCAGGCCCACACAATGTGCTTACACATGGCCCACATACTGCAAAGGATGACGGCCCTTTGGTGGCCCAGACCTGGTTTGCCAGAGGTGGCCCACACATGGGCCAGCACAAGGCTAGTTTCAGACACACTGGTGGCCCTGTGCTGGCTTGTTTGGATTAACTCTGGCAAACCTGATCTGGGCCACCAAAGGGCCATCATTCATTGCGGTATGTGGGCCATCTGTGGTGTGCAGCCACGGGCCAGTTGCAGACACACTGCTGGCCCTGTGCTGGCC